TCCCTCCTCCTCCTCACTTGCCCTCTGTGACTGCCTCTAGCTTTGCTTGTGCTTGTGAACTTATTATGCGACTGCATGCGGTGCTGATTATACCCCACTTTGACTATGGGGGTGTGTCAGAATGTTTTATTTCTCTACTCTGCAGTGGGGTACTCCATAGTGAGTACAGCCCTGTTAGGGTTTGCTATATGTATCCCATTGTTTGCTAGTGAAACCCCTCTTCTGCTGTTCATTCCTGCTTGCTATCTTGACATCAAGCGTTTCGGGCGTGGCAAGTTTCGACGAGCAATTGAGTGTGCCTCAATGAGGAGGGATAAAATCAAGCGTAAGTTCAGTTTGGAATTATGTTTAAAGCCAGGATCTCAAGTAAGAAATTAGGCTGGAAGTTGGTGAGAGGAGCTTGCCTGTGATTGGTCAACGAGGTGGATAGTTTGACGAGGGGTGAAGCGAGGGGTGCGAACTAAGAGGGCGTTCCTGGGGATGGCCTGGACATTAGCCGCTCCAATAACATGTAAAGTTGCCCTGTGCCGTTGGCAACACGTCCCCATCGCAGTTCTCATTGTCGCAGGTACTGACCCGCCAAGTGTACATCTGCACCCGCGCACCAATGAATTTCGTGCGCGAACAAACATCTACGACTTGTTCGATGTTGAACAAGCCAGGGGACGCACCCTAAAAAATATTCCTTGCTGAATTGACAATCCTCGCGCGCCAGGGTATGTAGTGGGCAATTCCCTACCAACACCAACACTCGCTACTTCAATGCAACCATCCCTGTGGATTTATTTTTCCCAATGCCCCAAATGGTTTTGGCCCTCGTTCTGTTGCTCACAACTGTACCATTACAGTTCGACGTTGAGTCAACTACACTATTGAACACCAGTCGTGCGAAAACGTCGCACGGAGGTACATTGGAAGGCCAGGTTCGTGTTGGTGGGCTGCATTGTTAAAGCCACGTGGCCCCAACGCTCAAATGTTCAGACGTTTGGCGTTTGGCCATCCCCATGAATGCCATCTTAGGGTACATTCCTGTGGGGACACTTGTGTCTCAATCCCCGTTTTCCCGAGTCGCGCCTGTAAATTTGCCAAATGTTGTGTCACAAACAACCAATGTATCGCGACCCTGCGCGACAGATGGGCACAGCCAGGTGGGTGCGTACTATTGGTTGCGACCAATAGGATTGTGCCCACCCAGTTTTCCCGCCGGGCAGGGGGGCTAAACATATCGCACCACCTCGAGTATCGCGGTGGGCTTGCCACAGAAATGAAAGTTGCAATTTGGGCCACCCCACACACAACAGCATGTATACAACCACGGCTCCAAGTACAAAAACGCAAGCACCACAGAGCTAAACTGCACCACTGTCTAGCAACCATGGCATCGCCCCGCGAGGTGCCATTCCTCATGCGCCTACTTGTCGCATGGGTTACGTTCTACTACAGCATATTCATGGACGCCATCGCCAAGTCGGTCAGTGGCTTGCTGGAGGCGAACGTCTTCAATGACGAGGTGTCCTCGTCATCCAGCTCTCGCGCCTCCAACCGTACCGCAGAGCGGAAACGAAGGGCTGGGCTACGCCGGCGGAGATACCAGTTGCTGCTAGAGGACCTGGACGGCATGGGGGAGGATCAGTTCAGATATATGTTTCGCATAAACCGTGGCATTCTCGAATACATTGTCGCCGGGATGACGCACTACATGCAACCGTACGTGGACAGGTACCTAATCAGTCATGAAGTGGCATGCCTTGTACCTATCAAATACCTCGCAAGTGGCATGTCTTTCGTAGACTTGTCCTCCGTGTTCGGGCTGTCCAAGACCCTGTGCCACATGCTTGTTGACGCGCTCCTCATGCATTTCCCGTCCGTCTTCAAGCAGCAGTGGGTCCACTTCCCGACCCGCGACGACCTCGACGAGATGGCCGCAGAGTTCCGCGCCATCAAGGGGGTACCTGCGGTTGTGGGGGCTATAGACGGCACACACATACCCATGAAGGGGATGGAGGGGCACAGGCAAGAGTACTACACGCGGAAGTCCTGTTACGCCGTCCAGTTGCAGATCACATGCGACGCGCGAGGCATCATATGGGACTATTTGATCGGATACCCGGGCAGTGCGCACGATCAGAGAGTGTTCATGAACAGCGCGTTACACGAAAGGTTGTACAACGGCGACATAGCGCCATACCAAATAGTGGGAGATGCTGCCTACCCACTCAGAGACTTCTGCCTGACCCCCCTACATGCTCCCCGTGAAGGCCTAATGGAGGACTGGGAGCAGTGCTTTAACTATTGCCAAAGCGCAACGCGCATGGCATTAGAGCGCTGCATCGGCGCCTTCAAAGGCCGGTGGCGTCTATTCGCGGGCCGCAATGACTGCAAGCTCTGGCGCATTCTTGCAGGGGCGTCTTGTGGCGTCATCCTGCACAACATGTGCGAAATGATGGGCGCAGTAAGGCGCGTCAATGCATCGTGGGCAAACTTGCCCCGAAACCGGGACCCATGGTGGACTCGTGGCGCGGTAGCAGAGTTCATGTGGGAGCCATGTGACCCATGCACGCAAGAGAATCTTCGTGAAAGGCGCAAGCGGCTGGGCGAGGCTCTGGAGTCGTCTTACCTCACTCGGCGGCGCCGCGGACCCACACCTCCTCACCCGCATCTGGGTTAGAGGGGTCTTCGCCCGCCTGCCCGCGACGAAGCCAGCCGTCGTCGCCGCCTTCGGCGGCGTGCGAGTCGGTCATGTTGTCCGCGTGGGCAGGGATGTCGTCGCGGACATGCGGGGAGGGTGCGGGCTGCTGCACGCGTTCTCGAGCAATACGTGCGTCCTGATCCATCCACGCGCGGACGAGGCCTTCGAGCCTGCTCATGGCATCTGAGTGGCAGCCTTTGATCGTCTCGCACACCAGCTTTGCAGCGGCCATCGTCGCCGTCTCTGCCACACGTGGGCGCTTCGATGTAGGAGTTCCCTGTGGCGGCGGAGCTGCACACACGGTGGATGCACACGAACAGTAGACGAGGTGTTATGTACCCTAAACATTTTAATGATGTAATGTGTGCGTAAAATGTTGTCACAAAATGTGTCATTCAACAAACCCGCGAGTGCCACCGTTGATGCAACACATACATACCAGTGAATGTCGGCGTAGAGGTGCAGGGCGCCGAAGTGGACGGGACCGCGTACCCGCACGGCACGTTGACGTGTGCCGCACCGCCACCGTCGACGGCGTGAGGGTTGCCCACCGCCTTGTTGTTCTGGAAAAGCGCCATGTACGGGTACCAGTGGGGCTTGCACACGGCACCCTTGCCGCTCGCCTTTTCCCCCTTCTTGATCTGCTTGTACATGTTCACAAGATTGCGCCACTGCTTCTGAAGCGCGTTTACACCGCGCACCCAACCGGGATTCTCCTTCTCGAGGTGACGCGCGAGGCGGGCCCAGTACTGAGAGCCCTGCTTCCCGAGGAGGGGCCCGAGCTCGTCCTTCATGAACCAACGCGCAGCCACGAAGATTGTGTTCTCGCGGGGGGACCACACGCTCCGCTTAACAGGATGCAAGTTACGGGTCTTGGCAGCGGCACGCGGAGGTTCCCCGCCCTTAGCAGCAGTCTTGGTTCCCGCAGCGGCAGACGCACGGCCGCGACGAGGAGCCGGGGACGCAGGCTGGGCCTCTTCGGGAGCGTCCTCGTCGTCATCGGCGTCCTCGTCGGCGACAACTTCATCCTCGGAGGGGGACATGCCCTTGTCCTGCTCCTCGCCAGAGTCCGCGTCGTCTTCGCAGGCCTCGTCGCACTCGTTGTAATCAGAGTCCGCGGCGTCATCATCGTCATCGAAGGCAGCATCGTCGTTGACGCGGGATGAGGCAACCCGGTCGGCATGACGACGTCCGCGGGTAGGGACATCGCGCGGGGCTTCGAACGAGGTGTCCCCCGCACCAGGCGCTCCTTCGGGCAAAGGGCCGGCGGGCTTGCGGCCGGCCGCGATTTGTTTGTTCATCCAAGCGATGTACGGGATCTCGTCGAGATCCCGCGGGCACAAGTCAACAGAACTAGCTACGCTCTTGCGCTTACGGGCCATGGCTACAGCATGCCAAAGAAGACCCTGGCTAGACTTCGCAACAAGAAAGAGGAAGCTCGGGTTGGGAGAAGAAGAACAGATTGGAGCGGGAGAGTGCTGTCAGTGTGGTTGGAACGATGGGCAAACATTCGGGCAGGGATGTGACCGTGTGTGCTGAAGGACCAGTCATATGTCAGCCCGGGCAGAGCGGTTTCCATCCCCGCGCGGAAACGTGCCCAGTTCGGGCGTCCAGGTGCATGCTGTACAGTGTGAGATTTCGACACGCGTGCGATTTTCGGGATGTGACGGGGCCTCGTGTAACTCGTCCGCGACACAAGCGCAATTCACGCCAACCAATGTAAAATACAGTGGGACTCGCATAAGCGCGATCCGCTTTTGTGACAGGGCACGGTATATGCTGTTTTTAGATGTCACAAAGTGATTGAGACACAAGTGTCCCCGCAGGAATGTACCCTTAAGTCAAATCGCAAGTTTGAATCCGAACCAGGGAGGCACGGAATCTGGTTCGGTGACGAAGCTCCAACACCAGCAATTTTTCGTCACACTCGAACAATCTCATGTATGAGCAATGTGTTTTGCATTTGATTCAGGGGCAAAAACGTGGGTGTGTCGCACACTCAACTTCCTAACCAACTAGTCAATTCGCCTACACAAATAGGGCAACGACAGCTGCAAGTGTTTTGCAATTGAAGGCCAATTCTCGTACTTGAGAGGAGTCTAATAATGGAACGCTTGTGACCATGCTTTCAGTTTTTTTCACCACCCACAGCTCCCAAATATCTTCCACAACCATGGCTTTCTCGTCGTCGTCAATCCGCTTCGCATTGTTATGGCACTTGGAGGAGTTGTAGACCTCAGGAAAATTCATAGGCCGCTGTGCTTTGTATGAACACTTGTGCAGGTGTCATTCCTCATAGCGTAGACGCATCATGGCTGGAGGTGATCGAACGGCTGAATCTACTCCCGTCACTCTTCTTTCCGATTCCAGCGGCGGCGGGGATACCAGCAACCCTTCAACACCCGCGTCCTCCGCAAACGCCACCGCAACCGCAGGCGTTTCTTTCTCCTCGCTGCGCTTACCCGGCCTCCAGTCCCTGATTCTGCTCTCTGTCGTCGCGTACGCTGCCGTGATTGGTTTCTCGCTCTCCGTGTCGCTTAATCTCCCCGCGACTACCGCGCAGCTCGAAGCGTCCGGCGGCAGCCACGTGGACGTTTCGAGCGCCGATGGCGGCGGCATTGGCGCACGCGTGAATCGCGGAAGAAACGCTCTTACTATTGGTGAAATTCTCCGCGAACCATGGCGGTTGATCTTCCCCGGCGGTGGCGGAGCAAGCCCGTTTTTTTCAGCGCTGGGCTCTTCCCGGTCCGATCGTCTGGAAGGGGGGAGCAGGCGGTGGGGGAAGGCGGTCGCGCAAGACAGCAGTTTCGTCCTCGGGGAGGGCCATGGGGAAGCGGAGAAAGCGGGGGAAGGGGGAGATGCGGACGACGCGGATGGCGCGGGGGGGGCGCAAGGAAGGAGGCATGCGTGGGGAGAGAAAGCGGGAGAGGATGCAGACTGGAGCGACGAGAAGGGGCTGTTGCAGCAGTTGATGTCACTGGCGGAAGATGATAGCGAGCGGGGCGGGCGGGAGGGGGAGATGCCTGACGAGGCGGAGGATGAGGGGGAGGAGGAGCGATGGCGCGGCAAGGAGGAGGAGGCGAGGGAGAAGGAGAGCGAGCTGGAGCCGTTGAAAGTGTTCCTGCTGCCTCTCACCCGAGAGTACAACTTCGGCATGTTGCAGGTAAGGCTCGACTTTTGAGACGTGTCAAGAGGTCGCGAGGGAGAAGGAGAATAAGCTGGAGCCGCTGAAAGTGTTCCTTCTGCCTCTTACGTGGGAGTACAACTTCGGCGTGCTGCAGGTAAGGCTCGTTCGACTATGAAATGATGCCTCCCACTCTCCACACATACCAACTCAACATCAAGTCGCTCTCTGCCTTGCCTTCACCCAACATCAAGTCACTCTCTGCCTTGCCTTCACCCAACATCAAGTCACTCTCTGCCTTGCCTTCACTCTCCCACAAGCTTCCTCACACATCAACTCAACCACCTTCTCCCCGCCTTCCCCCCGCCGTCCCCCACCCCCCTTCTTCACCAGCAATTCGCGGATCAGGGGCACTGGCACAACATCTTCCTGCCACGTGGCATGCCTGCGTCATGGCTGGCCGTTGCCCCCTCTACACCCTCCTCCCCTTCCTCGTCTTCCTCCGCTATCCCCCCCTCTACCGCCTCCTCCCATTCTTCCCCATCCTCCCGCATCTCTACATCATCCTCCACTACCTTAGCGTCCACTAGCCCCTTCACTCATTCCTCCACTCTTCCCCCATCGCCACCCTCGTCCGATTCGCCCCTCCACCCTGCTTCTGTTGAGGAAATGCCTCCGCTCACTCCTCCCATGGTCACGCTTCCGGATTCTCCTGCTGCTCATGCTGGTGGTATCGGCGGTGCTGATGGTGCTGCTGGCGCTGCTGGTGGCGGGGTGGCGACTTTAGGTGTAGGTGCGGTAGGGGTTGTGAATAAGTCAGGGGATAACAGCGAGCGGAGTAACGAGGAGGAGGAGGAGGAGGAGGAGGAGGAGGAGGAGGAGGAGGAGGAGGAGGAGGAGGAGGAGGAGGAGGAGGAGGAGGAGGAGGAGGAGGAGGAGGAGGAGGAGGAGGAAGAAGCGAAGGATGAGACGGAGGAGAAGGATGAGAAAGTGGAGAAGAGGGAAGAGAATGAGGAGGGACGGGAAGAGGGGGGGAGAGAAGCAGGAAGAAGAAGGTTGCTGGGTGATGAGCTGGCAGGGAGAGCAAGAGAGGGCGTGGGTATAGCAGGCAGTACTGAGGGTAAGATGGAGGAGGGAGAAGATAGCTTGCCAAATGAACCCACCCGGAAGAATGACCAGGGTGGAGGGACTAGAAGAGGAGCAGCAACAGCAACGGCAACGGCAACGGCAGCAGCGGCAGCAGCAGCAGGGGGGGGTAGAAGAGGCGATGGTAGTGGTGGGGCTGCAGGGAGTGTTGCTGGCGGGGGTGCAGGGAGCGCATTCATAGACACAGGGCCGTGGGTGCGCGGTGGCAGCACGGGCAGCATTGCACGCTACTCTGACATGCCTTACGAGCTACAGCACAGTGCAGAGTACTGGCTCACTCTCTCGCTCCTCACAGGCACGCTCCCTCCCCTCGCCCCTCTCGCACCTCTCCCCTCTCCCCCCTCTCCTCTATCCTCCGCCATGCATGCCTTCTCACGGTCGTGCTCGTGCCCACACTCATGCTCATGTGCGCCTGCCTGCCTGCATGCCTGCCTGCCTGCATGCCTGCCTGCCTGCATGCCTGCCTGCCTGCATGCCTGCCTGCCTGCATGCTTGCCTGCCTGCCTGCCTGCATGCTTGCCTGCCTGCCTTCCTTCTCGGCCTGCCTGCGTGATTACCTGCCTGTGTACATGTGCGTGCGTGCAGGTGTACCAAGTGTGGAGGTGGTTGGGGAGGAGCAGCAGGCAGACGTGGTGTTTGTGCCCTTCTTCTCCTCGCTCGCACTCCTGCACACCTCACTCAACCACTCCTCCTGGGCGCACTTCAAGTGAGCCTCTTCCACTCCACGTGTGACCACCGCTCGTGCTTCCGCTCTCCACTCCTTCATGCCCATCCACTTTCACGCCTCCTGCTTACTACGGCCATCAAAAGCCTCGCCACTGCCGACAGGGGGGGCTACAGCAACAAAAAGTGAAAGCCTCGCCAAACTCCCCTCCTCGGACTCCCTCCTCCTGCAACTCCCCCACTCACTGCAACCCCCACGTTTCCCAGCGCCCTACAGGAGCCGCTGTATCACGTCGTCACAGACAGCAGCAGCGCGTGGGTGAGGCACGGCGGACGCGGCTTTGAGTTTTGAGACGTGTTAAGGCGTGCTTTGACACATCTCAGATCTTACTGTAACCCCCCCGCTTCCCAGCGCCCTGCAGGAGAGGCTGTACCGTGGCATCACAGGCAGCAGCGCGTGGGTGATGCACGGCGGGCGCGGTTTTGAGTTGTGAGACGCGGTTAGAGACATTCTAAGGCGTGCTTTGGGGCATCTCAAATCCCACCCACCTCCTCCCAGCGCCCTGCAGGAGAGGCTGTACCGTGGCATCACAGGCAGCAGTGCGTGGGTGAGGCGGGGCGGGCGCGGCTTTGTGTTCCCTGCGGGGCACCCGCTGAGCCTGGACCCCATCGTGCACCGCCTCTCCCACGCCACCTTCCTTGCAGTCGACTTCTGCTTCCAACCCCACCAGGTGTGCACCGCACTGCACTGCACTGCACTGCACTGCACTGCACTGCACTCTGTGCCTGCACTCTTTTTCTGTTGTACTGTCCCCCTGCCCTGCCCCACCTTGCCCTGTCCTGCTCTGCCCTGCCCTGCCTGCTTGCCTTCTCCTCCACCCACGCCTTGGTCACTTGACACCATGCTGATTGTCGCCGCACCTTCACCCCTGACTGCACCCAGGTGATGAGGAGCAGCAAGGATGTGGTAGTGCCGTACGTGCCAGTGGTGGGCGAGCCACGAGTACATGGATTATCCGGGGGACTTCGCCGTGGTGAATGTGCCTGCCCTGCACTTGCACCCTTGGCCTCAAAACCCCTTGCTGGCTCGGCAGGTGATGAGGAGCAGCAAGGATGTGGTAGTGCCGTACGTGCCAGTGGTGGGCGAGTACGAGGACGACCCGGGGGACTTCACCCGCCGCCGCACACTCCTTTTCTTCCAGAGCCATCTCCTCGCGCGCTCCCATGTATGTTCTGGTTCCCAAGCCTTGGAGCGAGGAGAGGGTCGGCCCTTGGCTCGTGCGTGCTTTGTGTTTCACAGTGCATTTACACTGCGTTTTTTGGTACCATGTGGCTGTTTCATTCGTCATGCCATTCCCCTTTACTTTGACAAGGCAGGGTATAGGTGCATGCATCCCACAGAGAAGGTTCTTGCATTGCATTGCACAGCATTGGCAAGTCAACAGGCCATGCCACAACATGCCATGTCAACAGGTCCTTGAGTGTTCTCACACGCGTCTCTCCTCCTTGTCCATTCCCCTCCCACTTCCTCGCTTGCTCTCCATACCCTTGACCTCCTTGTAACATGTACACGTACACACTCATGCACGCATGTGGGCATTCACCCGACCCTTGACCTCACATTCACTTCCTCTCCCGTCCGCCCCTTCGCTCTGCCTCCCCTCTTCATCTCCTCCCTCTCCTCCCTTCCCCCGTCTCCTCGTCTCCCCGTCACCCTGTCTCGCCCAGGGCGGCTGGCTGAGGCAGCGGGTGCATGAGGTGCTGGCGGGGGAGGCGGCAGTGACGTTCACAGCAGTGGCGGTGTTCAACGAGCATGCACGGGCGTCCAACCAGGCGCTCATGCGCTCCTCAAAGTACTGCCTCGTGCTCGAAGGTGCGTGCGCTCACGTTGTCACTCATGGTTGGATTGGAAGGGCAGCAGTTCGTTCTCTAGCACTGCTGCCCGTCCAACCAGGTGCTCATGCGCTCCTCCAAGTACTGTCTCGTGCTCGAAGGTGCGCTCACATACCGTGCCATGCCGTGCCGTGTTGTCAGAGCCAGGTGCTTTTGCCTCTGCTTCAGCTGCTGTTTCTACTGCTGGCTCTGCTGCTACTCCAGCTGCTGCTTCTGCTGCTGCTGCTGCTGCTGCTGCTGCTGCTGCTGCTGCTGCTGCTGCTGCTGCTGCTGCTGCTGCTGCTGCTGCTGCTGCTGCTGCTGCTGCTGCTGCTGCTGCTGCTGCTGCTGCTGCTGCTGCTGCTGCTGCTGCTGCTGCATTACGAATACCACCTTTCCCCTCCTAACGGCACACTCTCTTCCATCATTGCCCATTCCCACCACCCACCACCCACCACCCACTACCCACCACCCACCACCCATCACCCACCACCCATCACTTACCACCCTCCACCCATCACCCGTCACACGCCAACCACCACCCTCTGTCCCACCAGGCGACACGTCCTCCTCGGGGCGGCTGTTTGACGCCATAATGAGTGGGTGTGTGCCGGTGATAGTGTCAGACGCCCTCGACCCGCCCTTCGAGGACCGTCTTGACTACACGCGCTTCTCCCTGCCCGTGCCCGCCGTGCTGGCCGCTCGTCGAGGCTTCCTTGTGCGCTACCTCGGGCAGCGGACTGCCGCTGACTGGCACTCGCTGTGGCTGCAGCTGCGCAATGTAAGCACAAGCATCCTCCCTTGTTTCTTGTGCGTGTGCTTTAGTTTTTCTTCTCCTCTGTGTCCCTTTTTGTGCTAATCTTCCTAGCCATACCTCTACGTATCTATATTGACTTCGGATGCCTAACTTTCATCCTTTGCTGCATGTAATAGGTTCGCAAGCACTTTCTTTTTGGAAGCCCTCACCATGCCTGGAGCCCGGAGAATTTCATATGGCAAGGTGTGCGTGCAAGGGTTCACAACCTCACATTCACCCAAAACCGCCGCAGGCGAATCCAGCGGCTTAGGTTGATACTGCAAGAGAACAAGCTTTCTGTATCTGCTTTGATGGATCGCCCTCGCGGGAACTTCGCAAATAAATGAAATGGATGTGGAATAAATGGTGAAAACGTAGGGGCCTTTTTTTCCGCTAGTTCGTTTATGCCTGAGTCATGGTGGTCTGCCTGTCAGCACAACATGTCCGTTCCCACTTACACCATTTCCATCCCATATGAAAGTGGTGATGATGTGGCAGTGACTGGTGCGTCTTGGAAAAGTGGTCTTTGCTGCAAGCTGCGTCCGCTTACCGTATTTGTTCAGCTTTCATTGAAGTGGTTTTTGGCAATGTTGGTTTGAGGAAAATATTGCTTTAGGGCGCGTGTCTTTTGGTGTAGAGCAGGCCCTCAGATTCGCTTTGGGGCTGTCTGATTCGTCAGACTTAATACACATTTTTAGTCTGATTAATCAGACTTGGTACAAAAAAACTCTGAAATTTCAGAGTTCAAGAGTATAAAAGTCTGATTACACAGAGTTCACATCAGTAGGGAAGCTGATGGATCAGCCTACAACGAGGTGGTGATTGCGCCGCGCGACACTGCTGTCACTGTTTCAGCTTGACTGACAAGACTGAACTGTACTTGCAGCGCTCATCCCGGCTGTTAGGGCAGATTTCGCACAGGAATACTAGAGTAGGTACCCGCTAAACCGTGTTGGGCTGAGAAAAGCCCTTAGGATCTTTGCAGGGGTGAACTCTGGGTAGGACTGATGTAATAGCGGAAGCTTAATGAGAAGTATTTGAACCACCTTGCGCTAGTATGTGAGGGCAAAGTCGACTGATTAAAGCAAAGAGATACAGGATTATATATGAGTACAAGGAAGATGAAGCGGTACAGTTGTAACTACTTTACTGTTGCTGTTGCGGTTCGATACAGTGACGACTCGGGCAACTGCTCTGTAGCGAGTCAGTTGTGTGTCCTTGCTGTCGCGCTGTACTTGTCAGGTCAAAGGTCGCTATCCTTTGGCTTTCGCGTAACCTCCAGCAGTTACTTCAACCTCCGAGGGTTGACTCGCTGGTGCCTCGATATGCTTCGCTTCGCTTGTGCCTTGGTGTTTCGACACGACAGAGGCGCTTAAGCTTGATTTTTTCCAACACTCCCCTTCGCTTCTGGAGTGTCGCTGTTGGTGACGTGGCTCTGTCCAGTCAGCAGCATGCAATACTCGAACTTCTGTTTTCCGAGCTTCTTGGTCAAGAAATCAGCTGCCATCTCGGATGTGGGGCAGTATGACAGCTCGAGTCTCCCCTTCTCGATCTCGTCCTTTACGAAGAAATATCGCAGGGCGATGTGTTTCGTCCTGTTCGCGAAGCCGTTCTTGTTGGCGATGCGAATTACTGACTGGTTGTCGCAAAACAGGGTGAAGCTGGGTAACTGAGCTAGCTTCGCTTCTTCCAGGAGTTCGCGAAGGTAGAGTCCTTCCTTGGTGGCTGAGCAGAGTGCTATATATTCTGCTTCAGCTGAGGAGAGCGCGATTAATTCCTGTTTGCTCGACTGCCAGGAGATAGGTCCGATAGGTTCGAACCGATAGATGTAGCCGGTGCGCGAGCGTCTGTTGTCGGAGTCGCCCGCGTGATCGGCGTCGACGTAGCCGATTAGCTTAGGCGTTGTAGTTGCGTTCTTGTGGTGAGTCAGTCCGATCGTCGGGGTGCTGACGAGGTAGTGAAGAGCGCGGTCGAGCTCCGCCAGATGTTCCATTTCAGGCTTCTTGAGGTAGGTGGCGAGCTGGCTTGCAGAATATGATAGATCCGGGCGGCAGGTGACAGCTGCGAAGAGGAGACATCCTAGCTTCCTCTGGTAGTCGCGTGTGCCGGCGGGCTTGAGTAGAGTAGAGCCTCCTTCGATGTTTCCTGTCGTGTAGCGGTACGGCGTGGAGATGACGGTCGGTGTGAGTGCGAAGCGCTTGGCGATGGTGTCGGCGTATTTCGCGGCGCTGAGATAGATCGCGTCTTCCTCTTCCTGGATGTTGAGCCCGAGGTACTGAGTGACGTTAGATGAGACCGTGAGTGTGAGATCTTGCTGCAGCTCCCCTTCGAACCAGGTTGTGACACCGTCGGTCGAGCCGATGTAGAGCGGATCGTCTACATAGATGATTAGCAGGATGTAGTCGGTACCTTTCGTAAGCCGGTACATGCCTTGATCGTGCGGTAGTTGCTTGAAGCCGATGCGAATGAGGCGAGCGTGCAGGTATTGTTGCCACAGTCTCGAAGCCTGCTTGATCCCGTAGAGCGACTTCAACAGTTGACAGACTTGGTTAGGCTCTCCGTTGGAGCCGTGCGGTAACTCGACGAAGATTTCTGCGTCTACAGGTGCGTAGAGAAATGCGTTCGCGACGTCGATTTGTCGCAACTTCTTCTTCATGGCGGCAATCGCGAGGAGGATTCGTAGTGAGGTATGTCGGCTGACCGGAGCGAATGTCTCGGTGACGTCGCGTCCGTGTTCTTGGTCGAAGCCGCGTACGACCCAGCGTGCTTTGAATTTGTCGATGGTGCCGTCTGCTTTTGTTTTCACTCGGAAGACCCACTTTCCGGTGAGAATCGTTTTGTTCCGCGCCACACTGATGGGGACGACTTTCCAGGTGTTGCGCTCCCCTAGTGCCTTTCATTCCCTGTCCATGGCTTCGCGCCATTTTTCCTTATGCTCCCCCCCCAGAGCCTGCTGAACTGTGGCAGGCTCCTTAGGAATGGCCGTGCCGTGGACTGCGGTGACGAGCCCGAGTATCTGGAGTCCACTCTGTCTGTAGCGGGGAAGTGACATGTCCGCGGGATAAACAACTTCGTCTCTCGCTTCTGGATCAGGTGCGAAATTGGGTCCTACGCGTTCTGCTTCGTCGGTGTTGACTTGTGCAGGTGTAACGTAACCGTTGTCAGCGAAATGGTAATAGGTTTCGGCGTTGATGCTTTCGCGTGGGTTGTCGTCGTCCATTGGCACGTCGACGGAGCAGTAGGGGAGAGGTCCGGCTTCTTCCGAGGCTCCTTCCACGTTCTGCTCGTCCCAGTCAGCTTCGTCGTCTGCCGAGGCGAAGGCTCGGGTGCCAAGAAAACCATCGGAACGATCGGGGTTTCCTTCTTGCAAGTTGGCAAGGTAATACCGGAGGGTGAGGTTTTCGTAGAAGATGACATCACGTGCTGCTACTGTTTCCTTTGTCTCGACGTCGAAAATCTTCCATGCGTTGTAGTGTTTTTCGATGCCCAGGTGTAGTCCCCACTGTGCGCGTTGTGAGAATCGGCCAGCTCGTGCAGATGGGGGCCGGTACTGTACCATGCAGCCGAAGACTCTTAACATTTTTGTGATGCCCAGTTTTCCTGTCCACAGCAGATGCGGTGATGCGTTGTTCGGGAGCGATGATGATGAGAGCAAGTTGTGCAGCATGACGGCGTGGTCCATTGCTTCGGGCCACTGGTGGTTGGGCAGGTGCATGCCACGTAACAGCTTGCGCATGGTGTTCTGGAGGGTCCTGTTCATCCTTTCTGCTACACCCTGTTGTTGATGGGCGTAGGGAAGAGAGATGAGTCGCTTGATTCCTTTCTCTGCCAAGTACTCCTTGAACCTCTGTGAGGTGTATTCTCCTCCCCCGTCTGACTGGAAGCTTTTTAGTTTGACGCCCGATTCTCGTTCTGCTACTGGAAGCCAGGCGACGAAGGCTTCGAAGGCCATGTCCTTGCTTGGAAGATTTAGGTGCCAGACGTATCGAGTGGCATCATCGATGAAGGTGATGGTGTAATTGTACGCGTTTTGTCCAGGCTCGCGGTTGTACAGTATGTCGATGTACACTTTCTCGAGTGGCGCGTAAGATGGTGCGCTTGGGTTGTGGTGAGACACAAACGGTTGATGCGGTAAGTCAGCTTCGGGACAGGTGAAGCATGTTCCACGGGCTCGCTGAAGTTCTCTACCGTCAGTTAGGAGTAGAGAGTCTTTATCGAGCACGCCTGCTCTTATCGTGTTGTTTAACACCGTGTTGATTGGGTGTCCCATTCTTGCGTGCCAGGTTCCTTCGGTTGCACGATGTCCGGGTGAGCGCCGATACATATCGGAGTTGGAATAGAAGCTGGCGGTGAAGTTGGCGCTTCGATGAACTTCTCGTGGTGCTGGGTGCAGTTGCTGCGCGGGTGTTGGTGGTGTGTCGTCGACGAAGATCGGTGCCGTTGAAGGACCAGCGATTGGTGTTGATGTTGCCGCTGCTGTCTCCGTTGTCTCTGCTGCTGCCGTGGTTGTCTCTGCTGCTGCCGATGTTGTCTCTGCTGCTGCCGATGTTATCTCTGCTACTGCCGATGTTGTCTCTGCTGCTGCCGATGTTATCTCTGCTGCTGCCGATG